TTAAACATGTCTCTTATCCTTTTTTTACTTAGGTTTAAATATGTCTCTATTTAGGTCTATTTTACTTAGGTGTAAATATCTCATCTGTCTATTTTATTTAGGGTTTAAATATGTCTCTATCTGTCGTTATTTTCTTAGGTCTATTTTATCTATTTTAATTAGGTTTAAATATCTCTTATCTGTCATCTGTTTATTTTATCTATTTTACTAGGGTTTAAATATGTCTTTATCTGTTTTTTACTTAGGGTTGGGGCAACATAAATATCTCATCTTTAGTTCTATTTTTACTTAGGTTTAAATATGTTCTTTATCTTACTTAGGTTTAAACATGTCTCATCTGTCTATTTTACTTTAGGGTTTAAATATTCTCTCTATCTGTCTATTTTACTTAGGTTTAAATATGTCTCTCTATCTTGTCTATTTTACTTAGGCCTCTTTTTATCTATTTTACTTAGGTTTAAATATCCCTCTATCTGTCTATTTACTTACTTAGGTTTAAATATGTCTCTATGTGTCTATTTTCTTTAGGTTTATCTTTTTTTTTTTACTTAGAGTTTAAACATGTCTCTCTCTATCTGTCTATTTTACTTAGGGTTTAAATATGTCTTATCTATTTTCTTTAGGTTTCTATCTGTCTATTTAAATATGTCTATTATTATTTTACTTAGGGTTTAAATATGTCTTCATCTGTCTATTTTCTAGGTTTAAATATTTTACTTATGTGTCTATTTAACTTAGGTCAAATAGTTCTTTTATCTATTTTACTTAGGGTTTAAATATGTCTCTCTCTATCTGTCTTAGGGTTTAAATATGTCTCAGTGTCTATTTTACTTAGGTTTAAATATGTCTCTTCTTTATCTGTCTATTTTTACTTAGGGTTTAAATATGTCTCTCTTTATCTGTCTATTTTACTTAGGGTTTAAACATGTTCTCTTTATCTTTTTACTTAGGGTTTAAATATGTCTCATTTACTAGGGTTTAAATATGTTTATCTGTCTATTTTACTTAGGTTTAAATATGTCTCTCTATCTGTCTATTTTTATTTAGGGGTTTAAATATGTCTCTCTCTATCTGTCTATTTTTTACTTAGGTTTAAATATCTCTCTCTTTGTCTATTTTACTTAGGGTTTAAATATGTCTCCTCTATCTGTCTATTTTTACTTAGGGTTTAAATAGTTCTATGTGTCTATTTTACTTAGGTTTAAATTATCTATTTTTTTTACTTAGGTTTAAATATGTTCTTTATCTATTTTATTTAGGTTTAAATATGTCTCTATCTGTCTATTTTACTTAGGGTTTAAATATGTCTCTATTATCTATTTTATTTAGGTTTAAATATGTCTCTCTCTATGTGTCTATTTTACTTAGGTTTAAATATGTCTCTTTTTTATTCATTTTACTTAGGGTTTTAAATACATGTCTCTCTCTATCTGTCTATTTTACTTAGGTTTAAATATGTCTCTCTTTTATCTGTTTATTTTACTAGGGTTTATGTAGTTCTCTATCTGTCTATTTTATTTAGGCTTAAATATGTCTCTCTTTATCTGTCTATTTTACTTAGGGTTTAAATATGTCTCTTTTATCTATTTTACTTAGGGGTTTAAATATATCTCTCTCTATGTATGTCTATTTTACTTAGGGTTTAAAATATGTCTCTATCTATGTGTCTATTTTTAGGTTTAAATACGTCTCTTTTATCTTTTTACTTAGGGTTTTAAATATGCCCTCTCTATGTGTCTATTTACTTAGGTTTAAATATGTCTCTCTTATCTGTTTTTTTTAGGGTTTAAATATGTCTCTCTATCTGTCTATTTTACTTAGGTTTAAATATGTCCCTCTTTATCTGTCTATTTTACTTAGGGTTTAAATATGTCTCTCTATGTGTCTATTTTCTTACTTAGGGTTTAAATATGTCTCTTTTATCTTTTTTACTTAGGTTTAAATATGTCTCTCTCTTATCTGTCTATTTTACTTAGGGTTTAAACATGTCTCTCTCTATCTGTCTATTTTACTTAGGGTTTAAATATGTCTCTCTATTTATTCATTTTACTTAGGGTTTAAATATGTCTCTCTCTCTATCTGTCTATTTTACTTAGGTTTAAATGTCTCTCATGTGTCTATTTTAATTAGGGTTTAAATGGTCTCTCTTTCATCTGTCTATTTTACTTTAGGGTTTAAATATGTCTCTCTTATCTGTCTATTTTTACTTAGGTTTAAAATGTCTCTTTTATCTTTTTACTTAGGGTTTAAATATGTGTCTTTTATCTTTTTACTTAGGGTTTAAATATGTCTCTCTTTTGTCTATTTTTTACTAGGGTTTAAATATGTCTCTATCTGTCTATTTTGTATTTAGGGTTTAAATATGTCTCTCTCTATCTATTTTACTTAGGGTTTAAATACACCCCTCTCTCTATCTGTCTATTTTTATTTAGGGTTTTAAATATGTCTCTTTTATCTTTTTTACTTAGGGTTTAAATATGTCTCTCTCATCTGTTATTTTACTTAGTTTAAAATATGTCTCTCTCTAAAAGGTCTATTTTTTTACTTAGGGTTTAAATATGTTCTCTCTATCTGTCTATTTTACTTAGGGTTTAAATATGTCTCTTCTATCTATTTTTTACTTAGGGTTTAAATATGTCTCTTCTATCTGTTATTTTTACTTAGGGTTTAAATATGTCTCTCTCTATCTGTCTATTTTTACTTAGGGTTTAAATATGTCTCTTCTCTATCTGTCTATTTTACTTAGGTTTAAATATGTCTCTCTCATTATCTATTTTATTTAGGGTTTTTAAATATGTCTCTTTATCTATTGTCTATTTTTTAGGTTTAAATATGTTCTCTCTTTTTGTCTATTTTAATTAGGGTTTAAATATGTCCCTCTTCATCGTATTTTTTTACTTAGGGTTTAAATATGTCTCTCTCATCTGTCTATTTTTACTTAGGGTTTAAATATGTCTCTCTCTCATTTTATTCTATAGGGTTTAAATACTTATTCATTTTAAATAGGGTTTATGTCTCTCTATCTGTCTATTTTACTTAGGTTTAAATATGTCTCTCATCTGTCTTTATTCCCTTTATTTTCACTTAAGGTTTAAATATGTCCCTCTCTCATTCTGTCTATTTTACTTAGGTTTAAATATATCTCTCTCTCTGTTATTTTACTTTTAGGTTTAATGTCTCTCTCTTTATCTATTTTTATTAGGGTTTAAATATGTCTCTCTCTATCTGTCTATTTTATTTAGGGTTTAAATATGTCTCCTCTATCTGTCTATTTTACTTAGGTTTAAATATGTCTCTCTTTATGTGTCTATTTTATTAGGTTTAAATATGTCTTCTTATGTGTCTATTTTACTTAGGTTTAAATATGTTCTCTCTCTTATCTATATTTACTTAGGTTTAAATATGTCTCTCTATCTGTCTATTTTACTTAGGTTTAAATATGTTCCCCCTATCTGTCTATTTTACTTAGGGTTTAAATATGTCTCTTTTATCTTTTTTACTTTAGGTTTTAAATATGTCTCTCTTCATCTGTCTATTTTTACTTAGGGTTTAAATATGTCTCTCTATCTGTCTATTTTACTTAGGGTTTAAATATGTCTCTCTTTATCTATTTTTTACTTTAGGTTTAAATATCTCTCTCTATCTGTCTATTTTTTACTTAGGTTTAAATATGTCTCTCTCTATCTGTCTATTTTACTTAGGTTTAAATATGTCTCATCTTTTATCTATTTTACTTAGGGTTTAAATATGTCTCTATCTGTCTATTTTACTTAGGGGTTTAAATATGTTCTATCTGTCTATTTTCTTAGGGTTTAAATATGTCTCTCTCTCATCTGTCTATTTTTACTTAGTCTTTAAATATGTCACCTCTTTATCTATTTTTCCTTAGGTTTAAAACATGTCTCTCTTTTATCTGTCTATTTTACTTAGGGTTTAAATACACACATGTCTCTCATCTGTCTACTTAGGTTTAGGGTATAAATATCTCTCTCTCTATCTGTCTATTTTATTTAGGTTTAAATATGTCTCTCTTTCTATCTGTCTATTTTCTCTAGGTTTAAATATGTCTTCATCTGTCTATTTTTACTTAGGGTTTAAATATGTCTCTTATCTCTTTTTTTACTTAGGTTTAAATATGTCTCTCTTTTTATCTATTTTACTTAGGGTTTAAATATGTCTCTCTCATCTGTCTATTTTACTTAGGGTTTAAATCTTTCTTTATCTGTCTATTTCTCTCCGGGTTTAAATTTATCTTCTTATCTGTCTATTTTTCCTTCTCTTTCCGTATCTCTCTTTTATCTGTCTCTTTTCTCTAGGTTTAAATATGTCTCTCTATGTGTCTATTTTACTTAGGGTTTAAAATATGTCTCTCTTTATCTATTTTACTTAGGGTTTAATATGTCTCTCTCTATCTGTCTATTTAAATATATTTAGGGTTTAAATATGTCTCTCTATCTGTCTATTTTACTTGGGGTTTAAATATGTCTCTCTCTATGTGTCTATATTTTACTTAGGTTTTAAATATGTCTCTCTTTATCTTTTTTTTTTACTTAGGGGTTTAAATATGTCTCTCTCATCTTGGTTATTTTACTTAGGGTTTAAATGTCTCTCTCTCATCTGTCTATTTTACTTAGGGTTTAAATATGTCTCTTAGGTTCTCTATGTCTCATTTGTCTATTTTACTTAGGGTTTAAATATGTTTCTCTCTATCTGTCTATTTGCCTCTTATCTATTTTACTTAGGGTTTAAATATGTCTCTCTATCTGTCTATTTTACTTAGGGTTTAAATATGTCTCTCTCTATCTGTTTTTTTACTGCTATTTTACTTAGGTTTAAATATGTCTCTCTCTTATCTGTCTATTTCCATTTAGGGTTTAAATATGTCTCCTCTCTATCTGTCTATTTTACTTAGGTTTAAATATGTCTTCGTGGATCTATTTCTTCTTACTTAGGTTTAAATATGTCTCTCTCTATCTGTCTATTTTACTTTAGGGTTTAACATGTCTCTCTCTATCTGTCTATTTTACTTAGGTTTAAATATGTCCATTCGTCTATTTTACTTAGGTTTAAATATGTCTCTCTCTATCTGTCTATTTTACTTAGGGTTTAAATATGCCTTCTATCTGTCTATTTTATTTAGGGTTTAAATATGTCTCTTCATCTGTCTATTTTACTTAGGGTTTAAATATGTCTCTCTCTATCTGTTCATATTTTACTTAGGTTTAAATATGTCTCTATGTGTCTATTTTACTTAGGGTTTAAATATGTATCTATTTTCTAGGTTTATGTCTGTCTATTTTACTTAGGGTTTAAATATGTCTCTCTCTATCTGTCTATTTTACTTTAGGGTTTAAATATGTTTTATCTTTTTTACTTAGGTTTAAATATGTCTCTCATCTGTCTATTTTACTTAGGGTTTAAATATGTCTCTCTATCTGTCTATTTTACTTAGGGTTTAAATATGTCTCTCTTTATCTGTCTTTTTTACTTAGGTTTAAATGTCTCTCTCTATCTGTCTTTCTTTATCTATTTTACTTAGGGTTTAAATATGTCTCTCTCTATCTGTCTATTTTACTTAGGTTTCATGTCTCTCTCATTTATCTATTTTACTTAGGGTTTAAATATGTCTCTCTCTATCTGTCTATTTTACTTAGGGTTTAAATATGTCTCTCTCTATCTGTCTATTTTACTTAGGGTTTAAATATGTCTCTCTTTATCTATTTTACTTAGGTTTAAATATGTCTCTCTATTGTCTATTTTACTTCTAGGTTTAAATATGTCTCTCTATCTGTCTATTTTACTTTAGGGTTTAACACATGTCTCTCTCTATTATCTATTTTACTTAGGGTTTAAATATGTCTCTCTTTATCTCTCTTTATCTGTCTATTTTACTTAGGGTTTAAATATGTCTCTTTATCTGTATTTTTACTTAGGGTTTAAATATGTCTCTCTCTATTGTCTATTTTACTTAGGTTTAAATATCTCTCTATCTGTCTATTTTACTTAGGGTTTAAATATGTCTCTCTCTCTATCTGTCTATTTTACTTTAGGGTTTAAATATCTCTCCTCATTTGTCTATTTTACTTAGGTTTAAATATGTCTCTCTTTATCTGTCTATTTTACTTAGGTTTAAATATATGTCTCTCTTTTATCTGTCTATTTTTTACTTAGGGTTTAAATATGTCTCCTCTTCTGTCTATTTTACTCTCTTTTAAATATGTCTCTCTCTATCTGTGTATTTTATTTAGGGTTAAATATGTCTTAGGGTTTAAATATGTCTCTTCTTTATCTTTTTTTACTTAGGGTTTTAAATATGTCTTCTCATCTTATCTGTCTATTTTACTTAGGGTTTAAATATGTCTCTCTTTATCTATTTTGTATTTAGGGTTTAAATATGTCTCTCTTATCTGTCTATTTTACTTAGGGTTTAAAAATATCGTCTATTTCTAGGGTTTAAATATGTCTCTCTATCTGTCTATTTTACTTAGGTTTAAACATGCTCTCTCTCATTATCTGTCTATTTTACTTAGGTTTAAATATGTTTCTTCTATGTGTCTATATCTAGGGCTTAAATATTTTATTCTTTTTTTTTACTAGGGTTTAAATATGTTTCTTCATCTGTCTATTTTACTTAGGGTTTAAATATGTCTTCATGTGTCTATTTTACTTAGGTTTTAAATATGTCTCTTATCTTTTTTTACTTAGGTTTAATATGTCTCTCTCTCTATCTGGTCTATTTTACTTAGGTTTAAATATGTCTCTCTCTATCTGGTCTTTTTTATTTAGGGTTTAAATATGTCTCTCTCTCATCTGTCTATTTTATTTCTTAGGGTTTAAATATATGTCTCTCTCTATGTGTCTATTTTACTTAGGTTTAAATATGTCTCTCTCTCTATGTGTCTATTTTACTTAGGGTTTAAATATGTCTCTCTCTCATCTGTCTATATTTTACTTAGGGTTTAAATATGTCTCTATGTGTTATTTTACTTAGTCTCTCTCTATCTGTTTAAATGTTCCCTCTTATCTGTTTTTTTACTGGCTTTTAAATATCTCCCTAAGGTGTCTTTCGTATAGGGCTTTAAATATGTTCTTCTTAATTATTTTACTTAGGGTTTAAAACATGTCTCTCTATCTGTCTATTTTACTTAGGTTTAAATATGTCTTCTCTCATCTGTCTATTTTACTTAGGGTTTAAATATGTCTCTCATTTATCTATTTTTACGGGGTTTAAATATGTCTCTCTATCTGTCTATATTTTACTTAGGGTTTAAATATGTCTCTTCTATTGTCTATTTTACTTAGGGTTTAAATATGTCTCTATGTGTCTATTTTACTTAGGGTTAAACATGTCTCTTTATCTTTTTTTACTTAGGGTTTAAATATGTCTCTTATCTTCGTCTTTTTACTTAGGTTTAAATATGTCTCTCTATCTGTCTATTTTACTTAGGGTTTAAATATGTCTCTCTCTATCTGTCTATTTTACTTAGGGTTTAAATATGTCTCTATTTATCTTTTTACTTAGGGTTTAATATGTCTCTCTCTCTATCTGTCTATTTTACTTAGGGTTTAAATATGTCTCTCTATCTGGTCTATTTTTACTTAGGGTTTAAATATGTCTCTCTCATCTCTGTCTATTTTACTTTAGGGTTTAAATATGTCTCTCTCATGTGTCTATTTCACTTAGGTTTAAATATGTCTCTTTATCTTTTTTAACTTAGGGTTTAAATATGTCTCTCTCATCTGTCTATTTTACTTAGGGTTTAAATATGTCTCTCTCTTATCTGTCTATTTTTACTTAGGGTTTAAATATGTCTCTCTTTATCTATTTTACTTAGGTTTAAATATGTCTCTCTCTATGTGTCTATTTTACTTTAGGGTTTAAATATGTCTCTCTATTTGTCTATTTTACTTAGGGTTTAAATATGTTCTCTCTCATCTGTCTATTTTACTTAGGGTTTAAATATGTCCTCTATGTGTCTATTTTCTAGGATTTGTCTTTATCTTTTTTTACTTAGGTTTTAAATATGTCTCATCATTCTATTTTACTTTAGGTTTAAATATGTCTCTCTCTTCATCTGTCTATTTTACTTAGGGGTTTATCTAACTTACATGTCTCTCATGTGTCTATTTTATTTAGGGTTTAAATATGTCTCTCTCTATCTGTTCATTTTACTTAGGGTTTAACATGTCTCTCTCTCTCTATCTGGGTTTAAATACATGTCTTCTCTATGTGTCTATTTTTACTTAGGTTTAAATATATGATTTAAAATAATGTCTCTTTTTATCTTTTTACTTAGTTTTAAATATGTCTCTCTCTATCTGTCTATTTTACTTAGGGTTTAAATATGTCTCTCTCTATCTGTCTATTTTATTTAGGGTTTAAATATATGTCTTCTCTTTGTCTATTTTACTTAGGGTTTAAACATGTCTCTCTTATCTGTCTATTTTACTTAGGTTTAAATATGTCTCTCTATCTGTGGTTCATTTTACTTAGGGTTTAAATATGTCTCTCATTTTATCAGGGTTTAAATCTGTCTATTTTACTTAGGTTTAAATATGTCTCTCTATATCTGGGTTTAATATGTCCTCTCTATCTGTCTATATTTTTACTTAGGCTTAAATATGTCTCTCTTTATGTGTCTATTTTACTTAGGGTTTAAATATGTCTCTTTATCTTTTTATTTAGGGTCTATTTTACTTTTTACTTAGGGTTTAAATATGTCTCTCTCTCATCTGTCTATTTTACTTAGGTTTAAATATGTCTCTTATCTGTCTATTTTACTTAGGTTTATCTCTCTCATCTGTCTATTTTACTTAGGTTTTAAACATGTCTCTCTCTTATCTATTTTAATTAGGGTTTAAATATGTCTCTCTCTATGTGTCTATTTCATTTAGGGTTAAACATGTCTCTCTCTTATTTATTTTACTTAGGGTTTAAATATGTCTCTCTCATCTTAGGGTTTAAACATGTCTCTCTCATCTGTCTATTTTAATTAGGGTTTAAATATGTCTCTCTATGTGTCTATTTCTCTTATCTGTCTATTTTACTTAGGGTTTAAACATGTCTATTTTACTCTCTATCTGTCTATTTTTACTTAGGGTTTAAACATGTCTCTCTCTCTATCTGTCTATTTTACTTAGGGTTTAAATATGTCTCTTTATCTGTCTATTTTTACTAGGGTTTAAATATGTCTCTCTTTATCCTTTCATTTTACTTGGGGTTTAAATATGTCTCTCATCTATGTTTAAATATGTCTATTTTACTTAGGGTTTAAATATGTCTCTCTATCTGTCTATTTTACTTAGGGTTTAAATATATCTCTCTCGATCTGTCTATTTTACTTAGGGTTTAAATATGTCTCTCTCTATCTGTCTATTTTACTTAGGGTTTAAATATCTCTCTCTGTCTATTTTACTTAGGGTTTAAAATATGTCTCTCTCATTATCTATTTTACTTAGGGTTAAATATGTCTCTCTCTTCTGTCTATTTTACTTAGGGTTTAAATATGTCTCTCTATCTGTCTATTTTACTTAGGTTTAAATATGTCTCTCTTTGTCTTTTTATTTAGGTTTAAATATGTCTCTTTTATCTCTATTTTACTTAGGGTTTAAAATATGTCTCTCTCTATCTGTCTATTTTACTTAGGGTTTAAATATGTCTCTCATGTGTCTATTTTACTTAGGGTTTAAATATGTTCTCTCTTTATCTATTTTACTTAGGTTTTAAATAGTTCTCTCATCTTCGTCTATTTTTACTTAGGGTTTAAATATGTCTCTCTCATCTGTCTATTTTACTTTAGGGTTTAAAGCATAGTCTTTTATCTTTCACTTAGGGTTTAAATATGTCTCTCATTCGTTCATTTTACTTAGGTTTAAATATGTCTCTCTCTTATCTGTCTATTTTACTAGGTTTAAATATGTCTCTCTCTATCTGTCTATTTTACTTAGGTTAAAACATGTCTCTCTCATCTGTCTATTTTTACTTAGGTTTAAATATGTCTCTCTCTATCTGTCTATTTTAGGCTTAACATGTTCTCTTTATCTATTTTACTTAGGTTTAAATATGTCTTCTATCTGTCTATTTTACTTAGGGTTTAAACATGTCTCTCTCTATGTGTCTATTTTACTTAGGGTTTAAATATGTCTCTTTATCTATTGTCTATTTTAGTTTAGGGTTTAAAGTCTCTTTTATCTATTTTACTTAGGTTTAAATATGTCTCTCTCTATGTGTCTATTTTACTTAGGTTTAAATATGTTCTCTATCTGTCTATTTTACTTAGGGTTTAAATAATATGTCTTTTTATCTTTTTTTACTTAGGTTTAAATATCTGTCTATTTTTACTTAGGTTTAAATGTCTATCTGTCTATTTTACTTAGGGTTTAAATATGTCTCTCTCTATCTGTCTATTTTTACTTAGGGTTTAAACATGTCTCTCTCATCTGTCTATTTTACTTAGGTTTAAATATGTCTCTCTTCTATCTGTCTATTTTATTTAGGGTTTAAATATGTCTCTCTCATCTGTCTATTTTACCTTAGGGTTTAAACATGTCTCTTTATCTATTTTACTAGGGGTTAAATATGTCTCTCTATCTGTCTATTTTACTTAGGTTTAAATATGTCTCTCTTTTTGTCTTTTTTACTTAGGGTTTAAACATGTCTCTCTCTTTATCTATTTTACTTTCTAGGTTTAAATATGTCTCTCTTTATCTATTTTTTACTTAGTTTAAATATGTCTCTCTATCTATGTGTCTATATTTTACTTAGGGTTTAAATATGTTCTCTCTATCTGTCTATTTTACTTAGGGTTTAAATATGTCTCCTCTTTTTATCTATTTTACTTCTAGGTTTAAATATGTCTCTCTCTATCTGTCTATTTTACTTAGGGTTTAAATATGTCTCTATGTGTCTATTTTTTACTTAGGTTTAAATATGTCTCTCTTCATCTGTCTATTTTACTTAGGGTTTAAATATGTCTCTCTTTTTATCTATTTTTTACTTAGGTTAAATATGTTGTCTCTCTCTCTATCTGTCTATTTTTTACTTAGGGTTTAAATATGTCTCCTCATCTGTCTTTTTTACTTTAGGTTTAAATATGTCTCTCTCTATCTGTCTATTTTATTTAGGTTTAAATATGTCTTCTATCTGTCTATTTTAATTAGGGTTTAAATATGTCTCTCTCTTTATCTTTTTTTATTTAGTTTAAATATGTCTCTCTCTCTTATCTGTCTATTTTACTTAGGGTTTAAATATGTTCTATCTGTCTTTATCTATTTTACTTAGGGTTTAATGTCTGTCTCTCATCTGTCTATTTTACTTAGGGTTTAAAAGGTTCTCTCATGTCTATTTTACTTAGGGTTTAAATATGTCTCTCTATCTGTCTATTTTATAGGTTTAAACATGCCCTCTCTTATGTGTCTATTTTACTTAGGTTTAAATATGTTTCTCTTCTATATTTTACTTAGGTTAAATATTTTATGTCTATTTTACTTAGGGTTTAAATATGTCTCTTCATCTGTCTATTTTACTTTAGGTTTTAAATATTTGTCTATTTTACTTAGGGTTTAAATATGTCTCATCTTTTTTTACTTAGGGTTTAAATATGTGTTCTATTTTACTTAGGGTTTAAATATGTCTCTCTCTATCTGGTCTATTTTACTTAGGGTTTAACATGTCTCTCTCTATCTGTCTATTTTACTTAGGGTTTAAATATGTCTCTCTCTATGTGTCTATTTTACTTAGGGTTTAAATATGTCTTCTCTCTTTTTACTTAGGGTTTAAATATATCTCATTTTTTTTTACTTAGGTTTAAATATGTCTCTCTCTCATCTGTCTATATTTTACTTAGGGTTTAAATATGTCTCTATTTGTCTATTTTACTTAGGGTTTAAATATGTCTCTCTCTATCTGTCTATTTTTTACTTAGGGTTTAAATATGTCTCTCTTTTTGTCTTTTTTACTTAGGGTTTAAAATGTCTCTCTCTAAGGTGTCTATCTGTCTATTTTACTTACTAGGTTTAAAATATGTCTCTCTCATTGTCTATTTTACTTAGGGTTTAAATATGTCTCTCTCTATCTGTCTATTTTACTAGGTTTAAATAGGGTTTAAATATGTCTCTCTTTATCTTTTTTACTTAGGGGTTTAAATATGTCTCTTATCTGTCTATTTTTACTGTCTATCTGTCTATTTTATTTAGGGTTTAAATATGTCTCTTCTATCTGTCTATTTTACTTAGGGTTTAAATATGTCTCTCTCTCTATGTGTCTATTTTACTTAGGGCTTAACATGTCTCTTTTATCTTTTTAACTTAGGGTTTAAATATGTCTTCTCATGTCTATTTTCTAGGTTTAAATATGTCTCTCTTTATCTGTTTTTTACTTAGGGTTTAAATATGTCTCTCTATCTGTCTATTTTACTTAGGGTTTAAATATGTCTCTCTCTCTATCTGTCTATTTACTTAGGGTTTAAATATGTATGTCTCTATTTGTCTATTTTACTTAGGGTTTAAATATGTCTCTCTCTCTATCTGTCTATTTTACTTAGGGTTTAAATATGTCTTCTCTATGTGTCTATTTTACTAGGATTTAAATATGTCTTATTTTTACTTAGGTTTTAAATATGTCTCTCTCATCTGTCTATTTTACTTTAGGGTTATCTGTCTATTTTTATAGGGTTTAAATATGTGTCTTTATCTTTTTCATTTAGGGTTTAAATATGTCATCTGTCTATTTTATTTCTTCAGGGTTTTAACTTATCTGGGTTTAAATATGTCTCTCTCTCTCATCTGTCTATTTTACTTAGGGTTTAAATATGTCTCTCTCTATCTGTCTATTTTACTTAGGGTTTAAATATGTCTCTCTATGTGTCTATTTTACTTAGGTTTAAATAGTTCTCTCTTTATCTGTTTTTTTACTTAGGGTTTAAATATGTCTTCTCTATTTTGTCTATTTTACTTAGGGTTTAAATATGTCTCTCTCTATCTGTCTATTTTTACTTAGGGTTTAAATATGTCTCTCCTTTATCTGTCTATTTTACTTAGGGTTTAAATATGTCTCTTATTGTCTATTTTTACTCTAGGGTTTAAATATGTCTCTATCTATCTGTCTATTTTACTTAGGTTTAAATATGTCTCTCTTTGTCTATTTTACTTAGGGTTTAAATATGTCTCTTTATCTATTTTTTACTTAGGGTTTAAATATGTCTCTCTCTATCTGTCTATTTTACTTAGGGTTTAAATATGTCTCTCTCTATCTGTCTATTTTTACTTAGGGTTTAACATGTCTCTTATGTCATTTTACTAGGGTTTATCTGTCTATTTTACTTAGGTTTAAATATGTCTCTATTGTCTATTTTACTTAGGTTTAAATATGTCTCTCCTATGTCTTTTTTACTTAGGGTTTAAATATGTCTCTCTCTATTATCTATTTTACTTAGGGTTTAAATATGTCTCTCTCTATCTGTCTATTTTACTTAGGTTTAAATATGTCTCTCTTATCTGTCTATTTTTTAAATATGTCTCTCTTTATCTGTTTATTTTAATATGTTGTCTTATCTGGGTTTAAATATGTCTCTCTCTATCTGTCTATTTTACTTAGGGTTTCATATCATTTATCTTTTTAGGGTTTAAATATGTCTCTCTCTATCTGTCTATTTTACTTAGGGTTTAAATATGTCTCTCTCTCATCTGTCTATTTTACTTAGGTTTAAATATGTCTCTATGTGTCTTAGGGTTTAAATATGTCTCTCATTTTACTTAGGGTTTAAATATGTCTCTCTTATCTGTCTATTTTACTTAGGGTTTAAAATATGTCTCTCTCTATCTGTCTATTTTTACTTAGGGTTTAAATATGTCTCTCTCTATGTGTCTATTTTACTTAGGGTTTAAATATGTCTCTTTCTCATCTGTCTTAGGGTTTTTCTATGTGTCTATTTTACTTAGGGTTTAAATATGTCTCTCTTTTATCTTCTATTTTACTTAGGGTTTAAATATGTCTCTCTCTATCTGTCTATTTTACTTAGGTTTAAATATGTCTCTCATGTGTCTATTTTACTTAGGTTTAAATATGTCTCTCTTTGTCTATTTTTTAGGGTTTAAATATGTCTCTCTCTATGTGTCTATTTTACTTAGGTTTAAATATGTCTCTTTCTATTTTATAGGTTTGTCTATTTTTACTTAGGGTTTAAATATGTCTCTCTCTATCTGTCTATTTTACTTAGGGTTTAAATATGTATTCTCTCTTTATCTGTTATTTTACTTAGGGTTTAAATATGTCTCTATTTATCTATTTTACTTAGGGTTTAAAATATGTCTCTTATCTGTCTTTTTTACTTAGGGTTTAAATATGTCTCTCTCTATCTGTCTATTTTACTTAGGGTTTAAATATGTCTCTCTCTCTATCTGTCTATTTTACTTAGGGTTTAAATATGTCTCTCTTTATTTTACTAGGTTTAAATATGCTCTCTTATCTGTTTATTTTACTTAGGTTTTAAATGTCTCTATTTATCTATTTTACTTAGGGTTTAAATATGTCTCTCTCTATCTGTCTATTTTACTTAGGGTTTAAATATGTCTCTCTTTTTATCTATTTTACTTAGGGTTTAAATATGTCTCTCTCTCATCTGTCTATTTTACTTAGGGTTTAAATATGTCTCTCTTTCTGTCTATTTTACTTAGGGTACTATGTCTCTCTCTATCTGTCTATTTTACTTAGGGTTTAAATATGTCTCTCTTTTATCTATTTTACTTAGGGTTTAAATATGTCTCTCTCATCTGTTCATTTTACTTAGGTTTTACATCTCTCTCTCATCTGTCTATTTTATTTAGGTTTAAATATGTCTCTTTTATCTGTCTATTTTACTTAGGGTTAAAATATGTCTCTCTCTCTATGTGTCTATTTTACTTAGGGTTTAAATATGTCTCTCTTTGTCTATTTTATCCTTAGGGTTTAAATATGTCTCTCTCTATCTGTCTATTTTACTTAGGGTTTAAATATGTCTCTCTCTATCTGTCTATTTTACTTAGGGTTTAAATATGTCTCTCTCTATCTGTCTATTTTACTTAGGGTTTAAATATGTCTCTCTTTATCTATTTTACTTAGGGTTTAAATATGTCTCTCTCTATCTGTCTATTTTACTTAGGGTTTAAATATGTCTCTCTCTATGTGTCTATTTTACTTAGGGTTTAAATATGTCTCTCTTTATCTGTTTTTTTACTTAGGGTTTAAATATGTCTCTCTTTGTCTATTTTACTTAGGGTTTAAATATGTCTCTCTCTATGTGTCTATTTTACTTAGGGTTTAAATATGTCTCTTTATCTGTCTATCTTTTTTACTTAGGTTTAAACATGTCTCTCTCATTTTGTCTATTTTACTTAGGGTTTAAATATGTCTCTCTTATCTGTCTATTTTACTTAGGGTTTAACATGTCTCTCTCTATCTGTCTATTTTACTTAGGGTTTAATATGTCTCTCTTTATCTGTCTATCATTTTACTTAGGGTTTAAATATGTCTCTCTATCTGTCTATTTTACTTTAGGGTTTAAATATGTCTCTCTATTTATCTATTTTACTTAGGGTTTAAATATGTCTCTCTCTATCTGTCTATTTTACTTTGGGGTTTAAATATGTCTCTCTATCTGTCTATTTTACTTAGGGTTTAAATATGTCTCTCTCATCTGTCTATTTTACTTAGGGGTTTAAATATATCTCTCTATCTGTCTATTTTTACTTAGGGTTTAAATATGTCTCTTTATCTATTTTACTTAGGGTTTAAATATGTCTCTCTCTATCTGTCTATTTTTACTTAGGGGTTTAAATATGTCTCTCTTTTGTCTATTTTACTTAGGGTTTAAATATGTCTCTCTCTATCTGTCTATTTTACTTAGGGTTTAAATATGTCTCTTATCTGTCTATTTTACTTAGGGTTTAAATATGTCTCTTCTATCTATTTTTATAGGGTTAAATATATATCTGTCTATTTTACTTAGGGTTTAAATATGTGTCTTTTATTTTAGGGTTTAAATATGTCTCATCTGTCTATTTTACTTAGGGTTTAAATATGTCTCTCTCTATCTGTCTATTTTACTTAGGGTTTAAATATGTCTCTCTTTTTTACTTAGGTTCTCTCTCTTTTATAGGTTTAAATATGTCTATTTTACTTAGGGTTTAAATATGTCTCTCTCTATCTGTCTATTTTACTTAGGGTTTAAATGTCTCTCTCTATCTGTCTATTTTACTTAGGGTTTAAATATGTCTCTCTATCTGTCTATTTTACTTAGGTTTTAAATATGTCTCTTTATCTTTTTTACTTAGGGTTTAAATATGTCTCTCTCTATCTGTCTATTTTACTTAGGGTTTAAATATGTCTCTCTCTATCTGTCTATTTTACTTAGGGTTTAAATATGTCTCTCTCTATCTGTCTATTTTACTTAGGGTTTAAATATGTCTCTCTTTATCTGTCTATTTTACTTAGGGTTTAAATATGTCTCTCTATCTGTCTATTTTACTTAGGGTTTAACATGTCTCTCTTTATCTATTTTACTTTAGGGGTTTAAAGGGTTTATGTCTCTCTCTCTGTCTGTCTATTTTACTTAGGGTTTAAATATGTCTCTCTCTTTTATCTATTTTTACTTAGGGTTTAAATATGTCTATCTGTCTATCTGTCTATTTTACTTAGGGTTTAAATATGTCTCTCATCTCTATTTTACTTAGGGTTTAAATATGTCTCTTTTATCTGTCTATTTTACTTAGGGTTTAAATATGTCTCTCTCTATGTGTCTATTTTACTTAGGGTTTAAATATTTCTCTATCTGTCTATTTTACTTAGGGTTTAAATATGTCTATCTATTTTACTTAGGGTTTAAATGTCTCTCTATTGTCTATTTTACTTGGGTTTAAATATGTCTCTCTCTGTCTATTTTACTTAGGTTTAAAATATGTCTATTTTCTCTCTCTATCTGTCTATTTTACTTAGGGTTTAAATATGTCTATCTGTCTATTTTCTTAGGGTTTAAATATGTCTATTTTACTTAGGGTTTAAATATGTCTCTTTATCTTTCTCTCTTTATCTGTCTATTTTACTTAGGGTTTAAATATGTCTCTCTGTCTATCTGTCTATTTTACTTAGGGTTTAAATATGTCTCTCTCTATCTGTCTATTTTACTTAGGGTTTAAATATGTCTCTCTTCATCTGTCTATTTTCTATTTTACTCTTTTTAGGGTTTAAATAAATTTTACTTAGGTCCTTTATCTATTTTACTTAGGGTTTAAATATGTCTCTCTTTATCTACTTAGGGTTTAAATATGTCTCTCTTTATCTATTTTACTTAGGGTTTAAATATGTCTCTCTCTATCTGTCTATTTTACTTAGGGTTTAAATATGTCTCTCTCTATCTGTCTATTTTACTTAGGGTTTAAATATGTCTCTCTCTATCTGTCTATTTTACTTAGGGTTTAAATATGTCTCTCTCTATCTGTCTATTTTACTTAGGGTTTAAATATGTCTCTCTCTATCTGTCTATTTTACTTAGGGTTTAAATATGTCTCTCTCTATCTGTCTATTTTACTTAGGGTTTAAATGTCTCTATGTCTATTTTACTTAGGGTTTAAATATGTCTCTCTCTATCTGTCTATTTTACTTAGGGTTTAAATATGTCTCTCTCTTATCTGTCTATTTCTCTATCTGTCTTAGGGTTTAAATATGTCTCTCTTTATCTATTTTACTTAGGGTTTAAATATGTCTCTCTCTATCTGTCTATTTTACTTAGGGTTTAAATATGTCTCTCTTTATCTATTTTACTTAGGGTTTAAATATGTCTCTCTCTATCTGTCTATTTTACTTAGGGTTTAAATATGTCTCTCTCTATCTATTTTACTTAGGGTTTAAAATATCTGTTATTTTTATCTGTCTATTTACTTAGGGTTTAAATATGTCTCTCTTTGTCTATTTTTTTTAGGGTTTAAATATGTTCTCTTTATCTATTTTACTTAGGGTTTAAATATGTCTCTCTCTTATCTGTCTATTTTACTTAGGGTTTAAATATGTCTCTCTATCTATTTTACTTAGGGTTTAAATATGTCTCTCTATCTGTCTATTTTACTTAGGGTTTAAATATGTCTATTTTACTTAGGGTTTAAATATGTCTCTCTCTATATCTGTCTATTTTTAAATATGGGTTTAAATGTCTCTATCTGTCTATTTTACTTAGGGTTTAAATATGTCTCTCTCTATCTGTCTATTTTACTTAGGGTTTAAATATGTCTCTCTCTATCTGTCTATTTTACTTAGGGTTTAAATATGTCTCTCTCTATCTGTCTATTTTACTTAGGGTTTAAATATGTCTCTCTTTATCTGTCTATTTACTTAGGTTTAAATATGTCTCTCTCTATCTGTCTATTTTACTTAGGTTTAAATATGTCTCTCTCTATCTGTCTATTTTACTTAGGGTTTAAATATGTCTCTCTCTATCTGTCTATTTTACTTAGGGTTTAAATATGTCTCTCTTTATCTATTTTACTTAGGGTTTAAATATGTCTCTCTCTTATCTGTCTATTTTCTTAGGGTTTAAATATGTCTCTCTCTATTTTATTTTAGGGTTTAAATATGTCTCTCTCTCATCATTGTCTATTTTACTTAGGTTTAAATATGTCTCTCTTTATCTATTTTACTTAGGGTTTAAACATGTCTCTCTTTATGTCTATTTTACTTAGGGTTTAAATATTCTCTATCTGTCTATTTTAGGGTTTAAATATGTCTCTTCATCTGTTTTACTTGGGGTTTAAATCTGTCTATTTTACTTAGGGTTTAAATATGTCTCTCTATCTGTCTATTTTTACTTAGGTTTAAAATATGTCTCTCTCTATCTGTCTATTTTACTTAGGGTTTAAATATGTCTCTCTCTATCTGTCTATTTTACTTAGGTTTAAATATGTCTCTCTCTATCTTATCTATTTTACTTAGGGTTTAAATATGTCTCTCTCTCATCTGTCTATTTTAATGAAAGGGTTTTATGTCTCTCTCATCTGGTTTAAATAGGGTTTTAATGTCTCTATCTGTCTATTTTACTTAGGGTTTAAATATGTCTCTATTTGTCTATTTTACTTAGGTTTAAATGTCTCTCTCTATCTGTCTATTTTACTTAGGGTTTAAATATGTCTCTCTTTATCTATTTTACTTAGGGTTTAAATATGTCTCTCTCTATCTGTCTATTTTACTTAGGGTTTAAATATGTCTCTCTCTATCTGTCTATTTTACTTAGGGTTTAAATATGTCTCTCTCTATCTGTCTATTTTACTTAGGGTTTAAATATGTCTCTCTCTATCTGTCTATTTTACTTAGGGTTTAAATATGTCTCTCTCTATCTGTCTATTTTACTTAGGGTTTAAATATGTCTCTCTTTATCTATTTTACTTAGGGTTTAAATATGTCTCTCTCTATCTGTCTATTTTACTTAGGGTTTAAATATGTCTCTCTCTATCTGTCTATTTTACTTAGGGTTTAAATATGTCTCTCTTATCTGTCTATTTTTTAGGGTTTTAGGGTTTAAATATGTCTCTCTATCTGTCTATTTTACTTAGGGTTTAAATATGTCTCTCTTTTATCTATTTTACTTAGGGTTTTATGTCTCTCTCTATCTGTCTATTTCCTCATTCCCTTTTTATCATTAGGTTTAAATATGTTCTTTTTATCTGAAATATATGTTCCATCCGTCAAGGGCAGCTTCTTTTACTTTAGGGTTTAAAACATCTGGTTTTTGTTGAAGGGTTTAAATATCCATTTTTACTTAGGAAATATGTCTCTCTCATCTATTTTTTTACTTCCCCCATCCGGGATTGCTCTCCCCATCTACAATTTTACTTAGGTTTAACCTGTTCAAGTCTAGGGTTTAAAACCATCTATTTTCCCATATATCCCCATAAACTAAACATGTCTCTTATCTGTCTAACCATTTGCCATCAAGGGTTTAAATATGGCGCTTATCTGTCTATTTTACTTAGGGATTGATCTGTCATTATTGTTTAAAAAAATTAGCACATGTGTGTGTATTTTACTTAGGTTTAAATATATATAGGGTTTAAATATATATATATATATATATTTTATAGGTTTATATCTGTCTATTTTACTTAGGTTTAAAATGTGTCTCTCTATCTGTCTATTTTACTTAGGGTTTAAATATTCTTATCTGTTACATTTTCTCTACCTCATTCCCTTTGTATTCCATGAAATTATGTTCCATTGGAATAAGCTTTCTTTCACAAACAGGTATTTGTTGAAGCAAATTCAGGAGACCTGATTACAAAATTCAAAAACCAATATATTAAACTTGCCTTCAGTTCTTTTTGAATTTTAAATCTTTGTACTGATTGAATTGAAAAAAATTAGCACATGTGTGTGTGTGTGTGTATATATATATATATATATTCCAATATATAACAAATGTTTGATTCCATGGAATAAAAAGAATAATTTTGTTTAGTTCTTTTTTGAATTTTATGATGAATTGATCGTATTTACGATTCCAATGGAATAAATTTGTCCTAGACATTGAGTTCTACCTGTCCCAGACATTTCTTCCTCTTGGAATTTTTTTTTTTCTAAAATATACATGTATGGGTATTTATATATTTTGTATATGTATATATATTTTCCACTAATATGATCTCTCTCTCTCTCTCTCTCTCTCTATATATATATATATATATATATATATATATAATATATAAACAAAATTGTTTCTATGAGTAACCACACAGATTCATATACAAAATATTGGTGTCAAATTAACTGACAAAAAGGAAAAAATTCTATATGAGTTTTGTCCCTAAAAAGGACTTCATCAAACTAAATAATGTTTTTAGTAATTAAATCATATACAGGGTATGATGGTTAAATTGTCATGTAAATTATGCAAAAATGAAAATAACACTGACATCTCATTTTAACAGTTATATTTACCAAAATTACACAAAAATATCTTGAAATACTGAAGAGTAAATTTATTCAATAAACTTGCCATTGGCTTAAATCACAGCCTCCAGATGACTTCGGAATCTCCTGCAACTCTTCTGGACAGTCTCTTTGCTTGAGTTGATAAATGCTGCCATAATTCTTGCCTTCAGTTCATCTTTGGTGTTACATGGTGTTTTGTCAATCTCTCGTTCAGCTGTGCCCACACATAATAATCAAGAGGGTTGCAGTCAGGATAGTTAGATGGCCAGATATAAGGGGTGATGGGGTTGTAAAAATTGCCTGACAGCCATGACTGGGTTCTCCTGCTTGTGGCATGGTGCAGAGTCCTGTTGCTAGACATAGGGTCTGCCAACAGCCACCCTCTTGACCCAGGGCAGCATTATCTCCTCAAGGGACTTAATGTAGCCTCAGCATTGAGTATGAGTCACTGTGGAAAGATGAATGAAGGCATAATGTCACCATCACTAGTGATTACTCCAAATACCTTCATAATCACCATTAGACTCATCCAATTCTTTCCAAATCCTGTAATTACTGTCCTCTGATTGACATTCAAGTGTCTCTGAAATGTTTGTTTGGTGTTAATGCCAAGCAGTGCAACATGCTTTTTTTTTTTTTTGTTTTCCTCACCAACAGTGCCCAACTGACCCAACTATACTGTGCAGTTGACAAAATCAAAAACAAACAATGTGCATACACAAAATTAAAAATATAAAATGGCTACAATTTACTCATTACAACCTTTATATGTTTGGAGAGTGAATGAAAATATAGGCACTTAACTTTAAATTTAAATTTTAAATTTCTGGTGTCCAGCCTAGCCATCCTCATACAGTTTCTTAATACTTTTGTTTTTATTGCTGTTGTTTTTAAATATCCCACATTGTAATGGCATTGGTTTTGTTAAGAGAAGTGAAAGGCACTTTCTATATATTTTCATCTTAATTAAAAGTAAGTTAGATAAAATATATTTTAATAGCACTGGTTTTGTTAAAAAAAAAACATTAGATACCATATGAACCTGGGTATAAATTTACCATAGATGACTCAGAAAATTTCTATACATTTTCACTTTCTTTATGTTTCACCTTAATAAATTACTTTTTCTTTTAATTAAGATGAAAATGTATAGAAAGTACATTATTTTCTGAGTCATCCATGTTAAATTTACATCCAGGTTCCTATGATATTTCATCTTTCTTAACAAAACCAGTGTTATTAAAATATGTGTTATTTAAAAATGAAAGTGATAAAGAGAAAAGTAAGAAGTTGAATGAGGTTGGCCAGTATGGACATCCTGACACAGTGGACACCAGAGATATAATATTTAAATTTAAATTCAAGTGACCCTGGATCATGCCAATGCTTAATTATAAACAGTATTTGTTTATATTTTCATTCCCTCTCTTTAAATATAAGGATCTTGTAAGCATATCTTAGATATGGCACAAAGCTGAAAGTATGGAGCACCCAGTGTAGATCAAACTCATTATTCAGTCATAATTGATATAGTGAGACAAGCTTGCTAGCCATTGCAACATGTTGAAGCATCCCCTCTCTTTACATATATAAGACTCCATCAATAAAAAAATTATTTATCCTGATGAAGTCCTTTTGAAGGACGAAACGTATTACATAGGATTTTTTTCATTTAATCTAACTTTAGTTTGATTTATAGAATTTATACAGTGTGTGACAGAAATGCCACCTACATTTTAAAGGTTGACAAAAAGATCAAGCTAACTGCTATTAAAAATTTACTTCACTATTGTTTAAACAAAAGGCTACAGTTCTTATTCATTTGGTCTTGAAAATCACAGCCTCCAAATGGTGGCCTTTATTCATCATACATTGTTGTAGAAAATTTTTAAAGTTTTCCATCACCCAGAAGTTTGAGCACTTCAAGGTCTTCCAACACATATACCTAGGTGACAAACACTAACAAAATCCAGATTCTGAATGAGTTAAGAGCTAAAATTTTCATGAATGTGCCAAAACATTTAAAAAAATCTACTTTTTCTTACTATTAGAAATTATAAAATTACTAGCATAGTTCTTGTAAAAAATGACCAGATTACTAATGCATGAATCTATTTTTATCTAGGAGGAGAGTATCAGTCTGCTATGACTGGGATCAGAATATTAGTGTACTATGATTTGGATCAGAGTATCAGTCTGCTATGACTGGGATCAGAATATTAGTGTACTATGATTTGGATCAGAGTATCAGTTTGCTATGACTAGGGTCAGAGTATCAGTCTGCTACAACTGGGATCAGGCATATTGTATCTGTGCACAATGAATAGTTAAAAAGTAAATATTAAAAAATGTGTAGAATAACAAGAATTCTTCATCTTAGTACTTCAGAAAACTCAAATTGATTCAATAATTTTAATCCATGTCTGTTGCAAGGATATATTTTAAAGAGTGGCTCTGCTTTCCACTAATCTTGGCTTCATCTAAATAAATGCATTGTTTTTCTATATGTAAGTTTGTATGTGTGTCTAGGAAATATATAAATCTGTGTTTCATATTCTGCTAAAAAACCTCACACAGCCTTAAATTCCTGAAAAGGAATGACATGAACATAATCCAGAACCTTTTTTTTGCACAAAATACAATTTATTTCTAAGCTTCTATTTTTTTCAAGATCAAAAAGATGTTTTTTTTTTTTGTAAGAGGTGGGAAGAATGTATTGTTCCAGGATTTATTTTTGAAATATTTCAACTTTAGAACAAAAAAAATTTTTTTTTTTTTTTTGTTAGGAATTTGTTTTTTCTACTCCTAAATTCAAATTTAGGAACAAAAAACATACCAACTGTTTGAGAAGTAGGTCTGTTCAAAAAGCATTGAGATACAGAGGATTGCAAAAATATATATACCTTTACATGGATGGGGGTTTATTTTTTTCTATTTTAAAGCTGGTTATTTGTTTTTGGTGACTGTGTATATGTAGAAATTTGTAATCCTTATTGGTTATTTTATATGGTGATGTTTAATATTTAATATGCTGGGTGAGAGGGTTAATTTAATATCGGGTCTATATGATATGATGTGATAGTAATGTTGCAAGGGATTGGAGACAATAATAATAGTTATTGTAAATTGGTAGAAATTGTAAATTGGTAGAAATGATTAGTAACGGTGGTGGGAGAATGATAAAACCATGAATGTAGTTATAGTGGTGGTAGCTTGAACTAAAAAGTGGTTGTTGGTGTTTTATTTTATTTTATTTTATTTTGTTATATGTATTAATTTATTTTGGTATAAATCCTGATAATAGGTATTCTGTGTAAAATTATGGTAGTTGAAGATTGCTATAATTTTTAATTTTTAATTTACAAAAATATTATTGTTATTATATTAAAGCTGGTTATTTCCTTGTTTTTTTTTTTGTGACTGTGTATATGTGACTGGTAGAAATTTCAGTTTGTAATCCTTATTGGTTATTTTTATGGTGGTATTAAATATGCTGGGAGAGGGGGTAGTTTACGTTAATAATTATGGCAGGATTATATGGTAATGGTAGATATGGTGTGATAGTAATATGTAAGGGGGTTGGTGGCAATAATAATATAAGTGGTTAATATTTATTGTAAATTGTTAGTAGTGATTAGTAATGTTGGTGGGAGAATAATAAAAATCTATAAATGTAATTATTGTGGTGCTAGCTTGAACTAAAGAGTGGTTGTTGGTGTTTTATTTTATTTTCTATATTTATTTGTTTATTTTTATTTATTATGAATCCTGGTAATAGGTGTTTATTCTCATGGTTATATATACATATATATATATTTGGGTGATTAAGTCTCAATTTAAAATAGATAGGTTGGTAAATAAAACAAGTGAAAAGGAAAAGGTACCAATGTGATCAGTGCTAAAAGAATTTATTATATATTAATTGTTAATCACAAGACAGAGATGAAACATGGAGATTAATGTTATTAGTCAATTTTTGGGCACGCCTGTGTCCTTCCTCAGCGATGCGAGAAATACAGAGAAATGGGGGAAGACTCACCAACAGTGTTTATTTTGGCTGGTGTGAACTCGTTGTAGATGGTATCATTAGTACAAATCTGGTCCCTGCTTTATTCCTTGTCTGTAGGGTGAACACATTAGTCTGTTTTGTCTTTATCGGTGTGAAAGGTGGGGGAGTGTGATTTTGAACTAGGGGAAGAGGCTTTTAGGATTTGGGGTGGGGAAGATGTCCCTTATGTGGTCAGTGTTGATAGATTTGACTAGATGATAGAGATGAGAAAGAAAGAAGTTTATATATATATATATATATATATATATATATATATATATATATATATATATATATATATATATATATAAAATATAAAAGGCTCAAACACTAATATTCCATGGTCATAATTTATTACATTGGAATTGGAATTACGATCCAATTCATCAGACCTACAAATTCAAAAGGAAGCAGAAAATATAACTCTGGGTATAAAAACAAAAAGTGAGAAACAAGGGTGAGAGGGAAAATGTATGAAAGCTCTAGAGAGAGGTGTAATGGAAGAAAGAAGAACAGGAAAGGCTTTTAGATGAGGGCGGGGAATAAAATTTAAAAGAGAGAAGTTAAATATTGTTTTAAATGAGTGAGATACAGATAAATATGAGTTATTATCAGATGTATAAATCATTACCGATTTGTTGACTTAAAATTAAAAAACAGACACTGGAAAAGTGTGGATACATTTGTGGTGACATTTAGACACATTAAGTGATTATACGATCCAAATTTAAAATCTAGCCACTTTACACTGCTGATGTATATGTGAAAATTTGTCACCTAGTTTGCATTTACTAACCTTATGTATACATGAAAAGAAAAGAGAATATATATATATATATAATAAAAAAGGTTTAAAACTAAAAATAATATTCCATGGTCATAATTTTATTACATTGAATCAAGAAAATAGAAAAACAGTAAAAAAACAAATAATAAAAATAGAATTTAGAGATATATATATATATATATATATATGGGACAAATGTTTATTTAAGAATAAAGAGACTAGGAGAAGGAGGATGTTAAAAAAACAAGAGAGAAAACTTAAATATAATTATTTATATATATATATATATATATATATATATATATATCCACACACACACTAACCTTATAAATGTTTTTCATCATTTTCCAGTATATTTTCTATCTCTATAGTTTTGTTACTATTTATATAAAAATATAATTGTAAAATTCCTCAATGTGATGAAAATTATTCCTTTTGTAATTCATTTTCTTAAAAAGTTCTCAACTCTATCTTTTTAATCACAATTCTCAAACAACCACATCCATTTCAATGTAGCCCAGCTCTGTTACACTGTATATTTTTAATCATTTAGCTGTTTGAAAAATGAACTTTTGACTTTAGTGTTTTCTAGCTGAATTCAAGAGATTTTCTCCAAGTATTTGGTAGTACATGACAGTTTATTGTTTTCCTTAGAGTGACAAACTCTCTTCTCTCAGATGCTGAGAAACACTCACAAAGCATCACAGATATCATCTCTCATGCTTGACTATGGGAATAATGTTTGCTAAATGGTGAGCCATGCAAAATTACCACCACACATATCATTAGGAGTTTGGATCAAAGACTAATATAATTCTTTGGTCTAATATGAAAATCTTGTGTGAGGCACATCTATATTGTCTTAAATGACATTGTGTTACTCTCTGAATGTGACAGAGGCCTTTATTTGAAATTAGCAGTATAACCCGTATTTGCCTGGGTCTTTCATTACTGGGGATTTTTGCTGTTCAATTTGAGCAGTTTAAGTTTAAAGTCAGCCTACCTGAAAATCAATATTAGTAATAACATTTGGGTGCAACTGAGGCACATACCCAATTTGTGGTGGTGGTGGTGGGGGTAACAATTTGAATGGGGGGGGGGCCTGAAAAGAGAACTGTATAATAATAAATAATATTATTGTAATAATTTAAATTATTTATTTTTATTAAAGTTTTTATGAAAGATATATATCCAAGAACAGTAAATAGTAAAACGTTGCTGAGAGTTATAATGGACAGGAAGTAGCGGAAAGCCATTGTCACCAACAATTTGGACTCAAAACCAGCACTGAAGAATTATCTATCAAAAAAAAAAAAATTTCATCAAAATCGGATGAAAACTGTGGAAACACACAAACAACATCCAATCACACACACACACACACACACACATACACACACATATTTTGAGAATTATAGATATAGATATCTTAAACTAGCAGTGCCTATTTTTTTTTTTTATAATAATGCTCACCCTGTACAAGGCCAAAAAGCCACTCGTGGTAGAGGGTTACTGAGTAAGAGGCATCACCCCAAGCAATGTGATAATGTCACGAAGACACATGGAAGTGAAAAAGAAGGAAAAGATTTTAGAAGTAATTGGAAACCCAATCTTAAACAGGAAACAAAGAATAAACATCTACTCATGTTCAAAAGACCAGGGAGTAGAGTGAACCAGGTGATAGGTAAACCTATCTACTCCTCTGTGACAATTTCATGGTTTTCCTATTTAAATTTTCTGATAAATCATTATTCTTAAATTAATGATTGAATAAGCTCCTTGCAAGTTCCATGACTATAAAATACCCATGGAAATTCCTTTGTAACAAATTTAATAAAATATTGTGGTAACAATCATAATTGTGATTGTAGGTGATTATTTAAAAGAAGTAAGAGGGTACAAATAAAAAATAATTCAAAATTAACATGGTTAAATGCATAAGATTCTATCTTCCTTTTCTTTTTCTTTTTCTTTATTTTTTTCTTTTTCTCACTAAAACCAAACAGCATCTGCTATACCGTTTTCTTCTGTCTTTCCTCACAGTCAAAATGGAATGGTCCGTTATTTAACTGCGGTAATGATAGGGCATAATACACATGCTATCTATCTTACTACCAGAGGAACAAGCAAAATTATATGATTATGTTGCTTCTAGCGTTTAAAAGAGACAGTCTGCATTATTAACACTAGACAACAACCACTCTCTCAGATCACTGGTTAAAAATAGTTTTGAATGAGTAAAGCTTGTGGGTTTTAGCAAAGACCATACTTTTTCAAAACTTGTGAACTGGCACTATAGAATCACAAAGAATTGTATCAAATATCAGAAACCATATCACTTGAGGACTTTCAACAGCAGTAACAATTAAAATGGATATCACATGTAGCATAGTGCTTACTGGTGTAGAAAATTGAAATGGCATGCCAAGTTCAAATTCCAGCTGAGCTTGTTTTCATTTTTGCATGAATGTCCTTGAGAAAGCAAACACAAATCCTAGCTAGCTTTTGTTGGATAGTCAGATGGGACTGACATATTGGTGCAACAAGGTTCAATATTCTCACCAGACTCTCATCATTGTTTTCTTGTCATCCATCTTTTCTGTGGTTTGAAATTCATAGTTTTCCTTTTGTTAGACTGGCTGCCACTCAAGGCTAGATAGCCCAGTCTACCCTGCTATTTAACCTATAGCTGAAAGAGAAGAGATGGATTCATGTCTTTCCTGGGTATGTTTGCATGAGGTGTAACTAGGTTGGGATTTGAACTTTGGTCTCTTTCTCTTCCCACTCCTCTCATTTTTTTACATGTCTCTGACCTCTTCAGAACCACTCACCAGTGTCAGTTTCATTCTCCCACTCTCTAACTATTCTCCTCCTCCTCCTTTCCCAGTTACTTCTATCTCTACCTGCCTTTAACCCCCCTCTACCAACCGGTGTCTGTTATCTTTTTCTTCCTCATCACTCTCTGCTCCATTTCTCTTCACCTGCTTCTGGGCTCTTCCTTTACCAGTTTCTGTTCTCCTCTTTCTCCTCCTCCCCTGGATATTTTTTTTTTTTTTTTACTTTATCTTTCAATCTATCTCTCACCCTACTCTGCTGCTTCTTCTACCCTCTCTTCTGCTTCCTGCATTTTTACACTTGCTATCTTAAAAGCATTTACTTTGAATCTATGAATATTGATGACATTCAGTCATGCAAGGAAAACAATGGAAAAAAACCCAAGTTTTTTTTATTCATTATTGAAGCCCTAAAACACCTGGCATGACCAGCAGCATTTCCTTTTTTTTATGTCTTCAATTAACTCCCCACCATATCTCTCAGTTCCTTACTCATAGAAGATTTACTCTCACTATGTTCATACATATGTTCATACGATTCTCACTATGTTCATACAACTCTCATCATCACTCTTTTGTTCTCTTCCCCATTATTTTCTCAGTTACATGTGATTATACTTAGAAATATGTTTCTATACTAAAACCCATTTTTTTTTTTATTAGTTTTCTTTCTGGCTTTTGGAAAAGCCCTTATTAATATAAGGCATTGGCTGTGGTCTGACCTGCTTTCAGGTCTTTAGGTGTCTGTCAGTTCAAATAATTTTTGAAGAATTCTGAACTGAACACTATTTAATCTACAGGTGTAGGCTTTTGTTCCTAGTAGAAAAAAGTGTTCATGAATTTAGTGATATAGCAATTGTGAGTTCAATCCACGAGCCAAGTAATACACATTTAGTGAAATGAGAACAAGATAAATTATCCTTAGTGAAATGCATAAAAATCTAATCTCATAGATTAAATAAATGGTAAAGTTCAAAATTCCTTGAAGATTACCAGGATTGACAGACACCTGAAGAAGGCCAGATGGCCCAACAGCCAAAACAGTGCAACAAAGACTTCACCATCACTATTGCCATTACCATATATATCTCTATATATGCAGCATACGAATATCAACAACATTTTTTCTTACATTTTAAGAAACCACATAGTATGAATGTATTTTTCATTTTATAATGAATGTACATAGCCTACTGGAATTGTCAATTAACCTTTATAAATTTTAATAGAAATTTCTTTTTTCAATATTCATGATCTGATGTACTTAATCAATAATAATATTAACATTTGAAAAAACATGATTGTTTCTGGTTGCAATGGCTATTGTAAAACTCTACCAAAAAGAAGTAAAGAGAAGTATAATTTTAAAAAGTATTTATGGTAAAATTATAATGTTAATCATAATATTAGCTATTTCCCTACAAGGAAACATTTGGCATTCATTGACCAAGCAGCCAGCATTTCTTTCTGTTAAAATTTATAAAACTTTTCTCTTAAAATTTTTTTTTAAGAAAATCAGTTTTCCAAGTCCATTAGCTATTATCGCTCTTTCCAGTATTGATGGGAGTTTCCTTCCTAACCTTTTATTTGAAGTAATGTGGAATGTCAATATCTTGATTACACCATTATTTTCTCTTTGAGCTATATGTGCTATCCATTTTAGTTATTGCTGCTGTGGGTAATCAAGTGATGTAGTTTCTATTATCTGGTACAGTTCTTTGTGATTTTTTAGTGCCAGCACATAATGTTCAAAGAAGGAATGAGGCTTCACTTACTCAAAGCCATTTTTAACCATTGATCTTAGAAATTGATTGTATACAGCTGATAGTTTAAATATTTTTAAATGGGTTTGGTGCCATACATGATATTCATAAGAATGTCTCAACCTATTTATGAACATGACTTGAGTTTTCAGTTTTGATGTTTTGGTTTTATAGCAATTTGAATTTTGTTATTATTAATTAAAGGATTTAGAATTTGGATTTGCTACAGGTAATAAATTATCTCCCTGCTTTGCTTCTTGGTGCTTCTCCTTGCTTTACTGTCAGGACTTCTATGACTATCTTCAACAGAGGCCTAACCAAGAGACAGGAGAAATAGGAAGAGTGTTAAGTGGTATTCTTAACAGTTTTGATATTCTGTGAGCAAATCCCTAAAAATATTTAATAATTCATGCTTAGCCTTTTAATCTATTTAATGAGAATTTCACTGATTGTTTTATTTATAGTTATAAAGGTCCATTTTCCAGTGTGTCTGTTCTTTTCATCTTTTATATCTCTTTATGTCAGTTATCTACAGTTTTATAGTTTCTATCCCATAAAGAGAGATTCATTATTTGTGTCTTATCTGCAATTGTCTGTCTCTGGTTCTTCCCAATTCTGTACTTTCCAGTTTATTGCACAGATGGGATTATTTCAGTCCCAGATGAAGCCAATATTGAGATATGTATCTGTGTTAACCCTATAGACACCTCTGTTGAGTATAAGACCACAACCTCACCATACAAGGTGTTGCTGTTATGATTCCTGTAGGAAGTAGGTTTTTCCTTACAGGATAGATTTGTTGGCCTCACACCCAACTTTTCAGTTTATTGTAAATATGAGTTTATTTTAAGTCCAGGTGAAACCAGTGTTGGAATATATATGTATTTTTTTTAATCATTTCACACCAAGCAAGGTGGTAATGCCACTAGCATGGGGGGATGGGGCATTATAGAGAGTGAAAGAGAAAGAGAAGACTGAAAATAGGGAGGATTGAGAAAAGGACAAAAAAAAAATGAATAGATTTCAAGATGACAGAAGATGGTGATTGATGTTGCATTTAACTTTTTGAAGATTGTATTTATCAAAAGCAAGGAAACTGAAGGGAGTTCCATAGGTGGGAAGTGTGAGAAAAGAAACTGTTGGAGTAGAAGTGGCAGTTGCATTTAGTTATTGCAATAGTAAAATGGTGGGACCTAGTTGCCAATCTAGTAGCACACTTAAATTTATATAGTCGGGACACCAGGGAAAAAAGGTTAACAGAGAGCAGTTTTAACATAAGTTTTATTTTAATAGGTACACATGTTTCATTAGGCATCTTTGTTTTTTTAATTAACATCTACTGGTCTAGATCCTTCAAAATGTACCTCTGACTCCTTTTTTTTCTGGGAAATTGCTTTTTAACTAGACAGGACTTACCATTAGGCTACAGAAGTCTTTTTAGCAAAGCAAATCCCTATTACCTTTTTTAAAAGTGTACATGTTTTGTTAGGACTTTTCAGTGTCTACATTTGCTAACTTATATTTTTGCTCCCAATAGATAAATAAAATGTTATTTATGCAATTGATGAATTTTCTTCAGTCCAAGAATATGTCTTATTACTGTAAATGTAATTTTAGTGTATACATGTATTTGAGTAGACACCTGTGTGTCTAGTGCAACTTGTCACCAAAAATGCATGATTTTTAACCTCTTCAAAAAATTACCTGTGTATATTGTGACTGCTTATTTTTAGCATAAAAAACTGATCATAAAACTCGCAGTATACTTGAGTATATATGCTAATTACTATAATTATTATTTTCTGCACTATATATATATATATATATACACACACACACACACACACACACATATATATATATATATGTGTGTGTGTGTGTATGTATTTTGTATTTGGGCAAGAATCTCTTTTTTATACAAGTTTCATTGAAGTCAACTAATAGGGAACTGGAATTAACCTTTTTATTATATTTTTCTTGCATTCATAAAAGTGAATACATTATTACTATTTTGTCTTTTTAAAATTTCTCTCTGTGCCTACTATACCAACATTCTGTAAGAATTATACACAGGCAATGTTTCACTACTATATATATATATATATATTATATATATATATATATATATATATATATATATATATATATATATATATATGAAATTGTAAAACAAAATGGAAAAGTCCAATGAAGTCCTAACAGATAAAATTCATCATAAATTTTTTTCCATTTTGTCTTAAAAATTCCTCAATTCTATTCTTAATATATAAATATATATATATATATTGATTATGTGTATGTCTATATATAAATGTACTCACTCACTCATTCACACACACATTCATTAATCCATGTAAAGTTTAATATTCATACAGAAAAAGATTGCTTTCTAAAGATTATTTTTTCCTTGTTAATTCCATTTTGCTATTCGTTAAGGCTCCAAGAAAAACTACCAGAGATGTTTTTCTTTTTTTACTCAACATGGCCTTGAATTTATTTTATATACATTTTTTATATATATATATATATATATATATATATATATATATATATATATATATATATATATTTATTTTTCTTTTTCAATGAGATAAAATCAGACACAATCTTTTGTTTATTAATTTTTTTTTATAATTTTGGCATTTCCACTTGTATTTTAGTTTAATTTTATAATAATAAAAAAGATTCCAATCATTAAAAAAAAAATATCACATCAGGGCAGGAAAAAACAGGTGATCATATTATTTTTTTTATATATATATATATATATATATATATATATATATGCACACACACACACACATATATACATGCACACACATTTGTGTGTCTGTGCATCTGTGTGTATAAGTTATATATACACTTTAGGCCAAAACTTTGGGGAAACTCTTTGAATTTCAAAGAATCACATAAAATTGAAGGTTTAGTGCCTTTACTCAAAACTATTTGTCTTGTTCACTTTAGACCTGAAGGACTTTCTCTTCTTAAAGTTTTTTATTGTATATACAATAATAATAATAACAAAGTTAATCCATTAATGAATGATGTTTCCTTAGAATTTTAGTTCTTTTGCCTAATCTATTTTACTGACTAATGGTAAACTTAGGGATGGTGGATTAAAAACTTAACCCCCATCTCTAAAAAATTAGATGCCATTCAATAATAGGTTAAATAGTTTCAACATTCTAGATTAGTAGGATTTAATTAAGCTAAAGATTTCATGAAACTTACTAATTATTAAATCCAGAAGGTGCTCTCAAACCTATAGTGTGTGTGTGTGTGTGTGTATATATATATATACACTTTCAGTCTTGAATTTCCTGCTATTTGATTTGATAAGAGTTAATCTGGATATCAATAGACTGCTTTATTTATAAATGAGCCTGGACTTTTGAGCATTGAAACTTATTCAGTTTTGTTGCTGGGTTGATGGATCAAGTCATGAATCAAATAATCAGAGGAAGGTCAAATTTTCTGTGGTCTATACACAGACATTGAATGAAGGTCAGTCATCAATTGATTATTGGAGAAATCAATGTTTTCCTAATAGATGGAACCTCTGACTACAAAGCTCTTCATAAAGTTTTAATCCTTATCATCATCATTATTACTTTTACTAGCAGACTGCCTGTCAAAAATGATAGGATTATTTACATATGGATCAA